ACCACCCGGTTGTGGTAGGTCATCCCATAGAAACACTTGGGAGCAACGTCCCCTCTGTATATACCCGATGCGGCTCTTTCCGCCCTCCAGATGCTGGCGGCGGCGCCGTCCGTGAGGGGGGCACACCGCGGACGTCAGGGGGTCACACTCCGGAGACGGGTGCCGGGCGTTTGCAACCGCCACTAAACTTCTGTCGCATAGCTGTTTTTGATTTTAATAAAATATAAGGACCTATATTCAAAAGAACATGACGGCACAGTATTAATGTGCTCGGAAAAAAATTACAAACTATATATATATATGATATATATATATTCATAATCTATGAAAAAAATTACAAACTACATATATATTCATATAATATATAAAAAAGCATAAAAACATATTTTAAAAAAAGCATAAAACATATGTAAAAAAAGCATAAAAACATATAAAAAAACGCATGTAAAAAAAATAGCTATGCCGACGGCATAGAAACGGCAGGGTTTTGGGAGGCGCCGTGCCGCGGATCGGTGACGTGGCATCTATGCCGACGGCTGCCGTCGGCATACCTACGCCGCGGATCGATGACGTGGCATGCGGAGATATGCCGACGGCCGCCCGTCCCGACCGTCGGCATAGGGTTGACGGCGTTAGCCGCCAATCATGGGCGGGGTCGCCGGGCCCATAGGTATGCCGACGGCTGGTTTATGTGGACGGCTGCCGTCGGCATAGCTCCGTGTAACCCGACGGCCAGGACTGGGCTGTCGGCATAGCTCAAACTAGGCCGACGGCAGCCGTAGGCATAGGTTTGGCCGTCGGGGTAGGACCGTTTTCCGGTAGTGTTTGGTGGTAGCCAGTCGTTTGCACTGAAGAATGTGGAGCACAAGGAGGTGAATGGATGGAACTTTGCTGCTTGAGGGATATTTGTAGCATCTTATCTTTCTGTCTGAGGATTTGTGGCCTCCTGTTGTAAACACCCAGCCATGTAAACTTGAGCTTGAACGTGCATTGGTTCTTAAAACCCCACCACCTCGATCCTGCCCCTGTGCTCTCCTATCCTCCGCCATGGCGTCGGAGTGCGAGGTCACGCCGGACGACCAGCACGAGCACCTGCGCCCCGAGGGCACGGAGCCGCTGGCGCGCATCGCCGTGGACTACACGCCGGACGCCTCCGCCACGCGCCGGCGTCCGGCGAGATCCACGTCACCTACGACCACGGGGCGCGCTGGCGGTCCCGCGGCCGCTTCCTGCCGGGCTGCGCCGTGGCCGCCACGGTCCGCGCCCCCGCGGGCGACACCGCGGGGCTCAACTACAACCTCTACCTCTCGTCGATGGAGGGCTCCAGCGACATGGACGAGATCGACTTCGAGTTCCTCGGCAACGACAAGCGCGCCGTGCAGACCAACTTGTTCGTCGCGGGGGGCGGCGGCAGGGAGATGGTCCACCAGCTCCCCTTCGACTCCTCCGACGGCTTCCACCACTACGCCGTCGCCTGGAGCGCCGAGGCCGTGGAGTGGCGCGTCGACGGGGAGGTGATCCGGCGGGAGGAGCGGCGCGACGGGGAGCCCTGGCCGGAGAAGCCCATGTACCTGTACGCGTCCTTGTGGGACGCGAGCGACGTCGACGAGGGGAGGTGGACCGGCACGTACCACGGCCGCGACGCGCCCTACGTCTTCAGCTACAGAGACGTCAGGGTGCCCGCCGTTGCGCTATCAGCGGGAGAGGAAGAAGAATGGCAGGATGACACGAACGCCGGAGATGAGGCTGATGCTGCCGCCACCACTTGTGAAGATTAGATTAGATATCAGTGTTGTCCCGCCTCTCATCGTGCCACCAGCCATGTGGAATTTGCTACTATCTTGGTCACGAGTGTTGCAATAAAAGATTCATGAATTATTTGCTGTGAAGGAAAAACAATGAAAACATACACAGTTCATTCGAACAATGGGTTTTCTTAACGTTCATACGTTTAGATAATACTCCTATAATAACAGAGGTTGAACCCATAATATTATTAGTGCAAAATACATGTGGTTTATACGATGATGGTCTTCATCAACATACCTAACGTATCTCCTTCCCTATTCACAAAAAGAAAAAAAAGAAAAAAAGATGTATCTCCTTCCCACAACCAGGCATCGGCTATCCTACTACGAATAGTGTTCGTGGTATCTTCATTCTCCCCCTCTTCAATGAGATCTGGTATCTTCATTCTCCCCCTCTTCAATGAGATCTGTTAATGTCGTCGTATTTTCGTAGCACTGAAAGTGTTGGTGAAGCCATCCGGGTTGGGTGCCTTGTCACTCGGCATTTGATCCACAGCACTCTTGGCCTCCTCCTCAGTGAATGGCTCATAAATGCCCTTTAGGTCGATCTGCCCCAAATTTCGGCTCTTCCAACTAAAATCTTGGGTTGTTGCATGACCCCTACCAATGGCATTGGAAAAATGATTGTGTGGACAATAGTTTCCTTCACTAAGTGATCAATTACCCAACCATTGTTATGCTTCGGCCTATGAATGTGCTTTTTCGTCGTCTTGCGTTGAATCCAAGGTTAAAAAAATTGTGTTGGCGTCACCCTCCTTGATGTTATCAACGCGGGCGCATTGCTTCTTGAGTCCTTTCCAATACGGCAAGGCCCGTGACCCTCCTCTTAAGCCTAGCCCTCAGACAATACTCCTATAATAACAGAGATTGAACCCATAATTGACAAATAAAAAAAAGATTGAACCCATAATATTATTAGTGCACTTGTTTAACCAAGCATTATTAGCACGCCAAGGATGGAGGTTGATCCAGTATCCGGAGAGTCTGTGCGCTAGAGTTTTAAAATCAAAATATTACCCCAAGGGAGACCTTTTGGATACGGTCTTCTCGTCGGACGTGTCCCCTGCTTGGAGAGGCATAGAATGTGGTTTGGAACTACTCAAGCAGGGCTTAATTTGGCGTGTGGGGAATGGAAGGAAAATACAAATCACGAGGGACCAATGGATTCCATGCAAAGAAGGGCTAAAGACGGCAGAATTCACAAGACAGTCGAGGTTAAGGTGGGTCAACCAGCTCATAGATTCAGACACAAATACATGGAATACGGTGCTAGTAAGGCAAATCTTCCACTCAGTTTGATGCCGAGGAGATATGCATAATTCGTCTACCCTCTATTGGTATGGAGGACCAAGTGGCCTGGCATTATGAGAAAACTGGCATGTTCACGGTGAAGAGTGCGTATAAATTGGCAGACGCTCTGAAAAGACAAGGAACTAAACTCCCCTCAAGCTCGGCAAGTGATCCCGGTGATAGGAAAATTTGGGATGTGATCTGGAAAGCCCGCGCGCCGGAGAAAGTCAAGATTTTTGGCTGGCGAGTGGCAACTAATTCGTTAGCCACAAAGCACAATCTTTTCAGAAGGACAATTGTTAACGAAGATGTGTGTGACATCTGTGGAATGGAGAGAGAGGACGAGTTCCATGCAGTCATCACATGTACCAAAAGCAAAGCCATGCGTTGTGATCTAAGGACAAAATGGGAAATCCCGAAAAAGTGTGAGTTCAGATTCACAGGCAGAGATTGGTTGCATATGCTTCTATTGAAGTACCCAGAGATGATCAGAAGCCGGATTCTGCTAATACTTTGGAAGGCTTGGCATCTAAGAAATAATATAGTTCATGGGGATGGGAGAGAAACAGTGAAGGGAGCGGTGCAACAGCTGATTAGACTCGAGGAGGATGTGCACACGGCCATGCAGAAGGAAGCACGGGACAACAGTAAAAATACAGTATTCCTGTTCTGTAGCAATCCTTGCAAACCAGTCTTGGTAGTGTCCAATCAGTGGGAAGCACCCAATCTGGGTACGGTGAAACTGGCGATGCGGCATTTGACGCTGAGACTGGAGACACGTGGGGGGTGCAGTCGCCAGAGACCACAGGGGGCTGGTTTTTGTGGCTGTCGGGCGGCGCCTGAACCAATGTCAATCAGTGGAAGAAGCGGAAGCCTCGGCTGCTGTAATGGGACTCTCAGAATTTGCGAAGGTGTACCATGGGCCCCTTGTATTGGAAATGGACTGCTCATCTGTTGCAAGGGACGTTCTGCTGGACACAACATGCAGATCCCCATGGTATGCTCTGATCGGAGAAATCAAAAGGGTCTCCTTGGTGTTCTCAAGCATGGAATGTTGTGTGATCAGCCGCCAGAAGAATTTCCTGGCACACGAAGTTGCAGCTACTGCCCGACGAACTGGCAACCTCAGGACGATCGTAGACGTACCTGCGAGTATTACAAAGATTATGCTCGACGAATGTAACACCTCCATGGCATAATGCGTGCCCATGGTTCTAAAAAAAAATTATTAGTGCAAAATACATGGACCACATAAAATACATGTGGTTTATATGATGATAGTCTTCATCAACATACCACGGTGAAAGTACAGTGATTCAACGGCCTGCACTTCTAGGGGATCATTCCCGGCCCAAGTATGTTCATCGATCAAGGCTTCCCACCTTTTTAGATGGGCGACTCAAGGCGCTTTAAAAAACCATTATTGGTAATGTTCGTGCGGGTGAAAGAGTGACAACATCATTGCTCAAGTCTAATTGCAACCTCTTTACCGAAGTCTTTGGAGTATTTCTTTGGGAAGAGATTGCTACCGCCAAGAAGGTGTTTACAAGAGATTTCATTGTAATTCTTAGTCATAGGAATTACTTTGTATTTTCTTGGATCTTAGGTCCAAATCAGTGTACGTATAATTGTTATGAGTAGTATCAATAAAGTTACAGGTGTTTCTCAAAAAAAAAACTAACTAACGTATCTCCTTCCCTATTCAGAAAAAAATCTATTGAAATCTGTTAATGCCGCCGTATTTCATAGCACTGAAAGCGCTGGTGAAGCCATCCGGGCTGGGTGCCTTGTCACTCGCCATTTGGTCCACGGCACTCTTGACCTCCTCCTCGGTGAATGGTTCGTCAATGCCCTTTAGGTCTGTGTGCCCCAAATTTGGGTTCTCCCAATTAAAATCTTGGGTTATGGCATTGGAAAAATGACTGTGCGGACAATAGTTTCCTTCACCAAGTGATCTATTACCCAACCATTGTCATGCTTTAGCCTATGAATGTGCTTTTTCGTCGTCTCTTGTTGACTCCAAGGTGAAAAAATTTGTGTTGGCATCACCCTCCTTGATGTTATCAACGCGGGCGCATTGCTTCTTGCGTGCCCTTTCCAATACGGCAAGGCCCGTAACCCTCCTCTTAAGCCTAGCCCTCAGATCCTGCTCGTCAGGAGAGAGAGGTCACGATTCTTGGGTGATGTCGAGTTGAAGGATGATCAACAAGGCGGCGTGGAGTTGAAGCCTACCTTTGGAGAAGAGCCGCTTGCTCCACTTGGAGAGATGCAAGCTTGCTTTCTTGAGCTAACAAGATTTGGCATGGCTCAAGGTGGGTGGATGGTTCCTGCCAAACATGCTGCGTAATATCCATAAATCCCAGAATCCTTCTCCAAAAGTTTACAGACTTAAACTGCAAGGGCATCCAGGGCCCTCTCATCAGCGAGGAGTATCGGGCAATGGTCAGACAGGGAGCTTGAAAGTGCATGGAGAATGTGGGTGTCAAACTGAATGTCCCACTCAGACATTGCAAAAGATGGAGTCGAGCTTGCACATAGTCGGGTTTAACCGCACATTACTCCAAGTGAAACTCCAAAGCGTTGTAGTGCGACTCCAAAGCGAATGCGGGTTCAGGCTCAAGTTCACATGGCTCGGTGTTTACAATAGGAGGCCACAAATCCTCAGACAGAAAAGATAAGATGCTACAAATATCCCTCAAGCAGCAAAGTTCCATTCACCTCCTTGTGCTCCACATTCTTGAGTGCAAACGACTGGCTGCCACCAAACGCCAGGTCGCTAGGCCCAGGGCTCACCATCCACACAGGAGAGAGCTCCACGAGAACCTTCTGCACCAGCTTGTCCTCCTGAAAATCCTTCAGCAGCGACGCCAGGGCGCCTCCGGCATCTCTGAAATCCACCAGCACGCTGCATAACCCTCGATCGGCGAGAATTCGAAGGATGGAGTCCAGGTTCATCTCATCAAGGACCGAGACGCTGACTCCCGATGGCTCCACGGCGACGGGGCTATCGGCAAGGACTATGGCGTTAGATGCAGACTCCTCGTCGAGAAACGGGATGTGCAATTTGGAACCTTCTCCCTGCGCTATGATGATGTAAAGAGGCTGCTTTGCGCCAGCCTCTTGTGATATTGGTAAGGTAGTCGCCTTGGCCATGTCACTTGAAATTACAACTCCATCGTATTCTTTTGCTAACTGTGAGTAGTATCCTCCTGGTTGATCAGCTCCGCTCCCGATTTGGTTTATGACAATTCCGTTCATCGAGAGTGTAGTTCTGGTTCAGTGTGAAACAGATAAACATCAGCAGCAGCGTCACACACTGTATTCAGACGAAAAGGACTAAAGAAAATGGCACGCGACGGTACAAAATACAAATATCACTACACCAAAATAGCTGAAGCAACGAGTGTACTACGTTTTCCTAACCACAGAATTAAAACACAAAGTTTGAACATACTGTGCAACTTATATTTCAAAATGAACCTATTCCTATATTTAAGAACTGGCAAAAATGTGTGTGCTGATATTACCAGTCTAGAATCCTAGCAAGATACTTGTAGTGGGATATTTACCTCAAAGTTGCAAAGGCCTTCCCAGTAAGCATACGGTGAATATAAGCCTCATTTAATCTGAGACATAATGCTTCCTCCACACCAACCCTTACATCTATGCCGGCGTTTCTGAGTTTTTCAATCCCTTTGGATGCTACAATAGGATTCGGGTCAGTCATCCCCACCACAACCTCCTTAATTTTGGCTTTGATGAGTGCTTCAGTGCAGGGAGGGGTTCTCCCGTAGTGGTTGCAGGGCTCCAAACTCACATAAGCCGTTGCATTCTCAGCTAAATCCCCTGCGTCTCTCAAAGCAAATACCTGCACATGAAGCCACATATTACCAACTGTTATAAGTACTAGGCTACGAGCTTATGATATTATCAACAGTACTATTATACTTTAGTGGCAGAAAACATATGTGCTCTTACATGTAGCTAATAGCCTAATACTACAATGCCACTACTTATTATTTCTTGGTAATAGCACGAGCTGAGCTCATATTGTTGTGTATGAGTATGAGACTAAAAACCACTGCATGCTGTTGACATACTGGCTACAAGTGATCTTTTGTAAATATTTGTTTGGTGTTAGAAGTATCACCTGCCAGACAGCTAGAAATGAACAATTTATGACATAATGCAGCATTGGAACAGTACTGATTAATGTAGCCCTGCTTTTTTACTAAGTGCAGTAAATTATTAGTGAAATTAGGGATCATATGAAGATTGGGAACTTCTATCAAAGGCCTTGTTACTAGTATGACCACACCAAGATTAGGGGACTGATTTTTAAGAGATTATTAGGGGAAGTCATACCATGCTCTGTTTTTCAAAAGATTTGACAGATGAGATACTAGTAGTTGTCAAATTCTAACACTTGCACAAATCTCTCTTAGTCTAAAAAGAGTGAACATCAAACTGAGAAGAAGAAGAAGGGTGAGAGGGGTTACCTCGGCGTGGGGCTGGCCGGCTTTGGGGTGGAATCCCTCGCCGACGACCTCTCCTTCGCGGACGATGACGCAGCCCACCATGGGGTTTGGGCTGGTGTGCCCGGCCGCCGTCCGCGCCAGGTCGACGCACCGCCGCATGTAGTGCGCGTCCATGTCCCCCGCCTGCGCCTGGCACCGCACGCCGGCCGCGAGCCCGCGCGCGCCGCCGCCGCCGACCGCGAGGCGGGCGCGGCAGGGGGAGGCCGCAGCGGGGACGGGGCGCGGGGCGAGGCGGGGGCGCGAGAGGAGCGAGGAGGAGATCATGTCAGACCGAAGAGAGGGGGCCAGCCAATCCAGCGAGATGTGTGGGTGCCCCTGCAAGCTGCCTCGAGTGCGTGTGTCTCTGTCGCGGCTGGCGTGGCCGGCTTGCGAGGCAACACCGGCGACGTATTGCCGCCGCGCGGAGCTGCTCGGGCCGCGGCGGCCGGAGACGGGGACGGGAGGCGGCGCCGCGCGGTCCGGGG